TTTCCTGCCCTCTTACTATGGCTAAAACGGGGGGGGGGGTTCAAAAAATTATTACATGGTTGCCTGTGATTTCTTCAAGGTCACAAACATGTTTGGATTGCTTATTCTCACCTAAAAACCCCTTGTTTGAAGAGGTAGGCACTGATATGACCTCCATTCAGGTATCTGATTTCACATCCTGGCCAAATTTCTTGAAGGCTACGCACTCCAGTTCGTGGGACATATGCATCCTCCTTGGCTTGAACAACTATTATTAAGCTTGGGTCCACTGGAACTAGATAAAAAGAAAAAAAAAATATGGAAAACCAAATTCTTTGAGGTTAACAGTATACTTCACTTTAAGGTTCTTGTAATGAAGACACTTCAAAAACTGTAAGGAAATGCGTTTAACAACTTACATAGCAATTTAGAACTAACTGCACTTTCCAATAAGCGGTAATTATTTTCCTGTTCCCACTCAGTGTTCTACTCCACTCCCACTTGTCTTCTTTATGTAATTATTGTAATCATAGAATCAGATAAGATTAGGGTTGGAAGGGACCTCAGGAGGTCATTTAGACCATCCCCAATAATATCACCCTAGCCAAGGATTTGTCTACCCAGGTCTTCAAAACCTCTAAAGACAGAGATTCCATAAACTCTGGGTAGCTATTTCCAGTTCTTTATTAGCCTCCTTGTGAAAACATTTTTGCTAACATCTAATAAGGCTGCATGAAGCTTCGGTTGCCGATTTGATTCGGTAGAGATTCGGCCCGATCCAGTGGCTGAATCTCCAAAACCAAATCGAAAAATCAGGAGACCCTTTAATCTCTCTGAATCTAATCGAATCTCTCCAAATCGATTCGGAGAGTTTCAGAAAGATTCAGCAATTCGGACATAGACACAGCTTTAAATGTTTTTTCTACATACCTCAAGGTACCAGGTGGCTTGTGAATGCTGCAATGGTGGGAAGGATGGAGAGTCCCACAGGAGCACGAGGGGGTCCCCAGCGTGCTCAGCAGAAAACATGGAAGTGGACCAGAAGCATTTCTGGGTCCCCCAGGGAGCACACTGGGCCCCCCTCCCCACATCCTCCTGGCACCTCCTGGGTCTGGGGGGCACCCAGTGTGCCCCGTGCCCAATCACCGAGCTGGGGGAATGTGGGGGGCCCCCTGCACACTCCCTGGCAGACCTGGAAGTGTACCGGAAGTACGTCCAGTCCACTTCTGGATTTGCTGCCAAGTATGTGCCCCCCCAACCCCGTATTCCTGTGAGATGCTCCATCTGCCCCACCACTGCAGCGTTCACAAGCCGCACCTGGTACCTCAAGGTATGTTTAAAGCTGTGTCTATGGCCAAATCACAGATTCTCCAAATCAGCATCGAATCTTCAGATTCAGATTTGGCTGAATCGAATCAGGGAGTGATCTGAATCAACGAATCGAATAGGGCCCATTTCACACACCCCTACTATCTAACCGGAGCTTCCCTTGCTGCAAATTGAAAATATTGCTCCTTGCTCTGTCATCTGTCACCACTGAGAACAGTCTAGAGCCATCCTCTTTGGAGCCACCCTTCAGGTAGTTAAAGGCTGCTATCAAATCCCCCCTCACTTCTCTTCTGCAGACTAAGCGCTGTTCCCTCAGCCTCTCCTTGTATGTCATGCCCCTGCCCCCTAAACATTTTCACTGTCCTAAACTGGACTCTCTCCAACTTGTCCACATCCTCTCTGTAGCAGGGGCCCCAAAACTCCAGATGTAGCCTCACCAGTGCAGAATACAGTGGAATAATTACTTCCCTTGATCTGCTGGCAATGTTCCCACTAACTCAGCCTAGTATGCCATTAACCTTCTTCACAACAAGGGTACACTTGGCTCATATATTCAGCTTATTGTCCACTGTAGCCCTAAGGTCCTTTTCTTCAGAGTGGCTGCTTAGCCAGCCTGTACCAGTGCATGGGATTGTTCCATTCTACGTGCAGAACTTCACACTTGTCCCTATTGATCTTCAAGAGATATGGTTTGGTCCAATCCTCCAATTTGTCTAGGTCTATCTGAATCCTAGGTCTACCTTCCAGCCCATCTACTACTCCCCACAGCTTAGTGTCATCTGCAAAACTTGCTGAGGGTGCACTCCATCCCATCTTCCAAATCACTGATGAAGCTATTAAATAAATGCAGCCCAAGGACAGACCCCAGGGGCACTACCTTGATACTGGCTGCCAACTAGACATCAAGCCATTGATTACTACCCTTTGAGCCCAACCATCCAGACAGTTTTCTAGCCACCTTACATTCCATACATCCAACCCATAATTCCTTAGCTTGCCTGCAAAAATGCCATGCAAGTCCATATCAAAAGCCTTGCTGAAGTCAAGGTATTACCACATCCAGTGTACTCCCCACATCCACAAAGCCAGTCATCTTTCATAGAAGTCAATCTAGTTGATCAGGCATGACTTGCCCTTGGTGGATCCATGCCGACTGTCCTGATCACCTTCTTCTCCAAGTGTTTAGAACTTGGATTCTTTGGGGACCTACCCCATGATTTTTCCAGGAACTAAAGGTGAGGTTGACTGGTCTGTAGCTTCCTCCCTTTCTTAAAGATGGGCACTTTATTTGCCCTTTTCCAATTGTCCAGAACCTCTCCTGATCACCACAAATTTTCAAAGATAGTGGCCAGTGGCTCTGCAATCGCATTGGCCAACTTCCACAGCACCCTTGGGTGCATCATGTCCAACCCTACAAACTTGTACATATGTCCAGCTTTTCTAAACTGTCCCTAACTCATTCTTTCACCTCTGTTGGCTGTTCATCTTCTCCCAAAACTGTGCTGCCACGTGCAGTAGTCTGGGAGCTGATCTTGCCTGTAAAGACTGAGGTAAAAAAGGCATCAAGTACTTTAGTCTCTCTCACATTCTGTCATCAAGTTCCCTTTTCCATTCAGTAAGGGACCCACACTTATCCTGATCCTCCTCTTGTTGCTAACATACCTGTAGAAACCTCTCGTTACCCTCCACATCTCTTGCTAGCCACAACTCCAACTGTGCTTTGGTCTTCCTGATTTCACCCCTGCATACCCACGCAACTCTTATACTTCTCTTTAGTCATCAATTCAAATTTCCACTTCTGTAAGCTTCCTTTTTTAGTTTTAGCTCATTCACTAATTCCCTGCTAAGCCAAGCTGGTCTTCTGTCATAATTGCTAGTCTTCCTGCGCATCAGGATGGCTTGTTCCTGTGCCTTCAGTAAGGTTTCTTTAAAGTACAATGTACAAGTAAAGTTGTTAGAAGAAAAAAAAGTCTTTAAGCAATAGAACTACAATTTGAGCAACTTTACTTTTCACAGGGGAAAGGGAAAAAAGGATCCAAAATGGAAATTTGAAATGGAATCTTAGACCAAAATCCAATTTTATAAAAGAAAAAAAACACAAATCAACTTCTACTATGAGATAGCTTCTATTAATCCACAATTATCACCGAGTCAACCACACAACGAATTGAATGAATGCAATGGTTCAACACAGCTCTCCCTCTTCTTCTATTCCTTAAGCTCTAAGGTTTTCTAATACTCGTAAACAGTAATAAAAATATTTGAAAATGCAGTCCCCATAAAAATCCAAAGATTCCTATTAGCCAACGTTAAATATTTTTGGGGTATGCTATTTACAGAGTTGGATGATGATCTAGAAAAACCTTAAAATTTAACTCTCAACTATGTCAAAAAACTACAGCCAAAAGCAGGTATTGCTTGGTGGAAGTATTCACCCTTAGCTCTTGATAGGAAAGAACCCAAATACACAGCACAGGGTAGTGGGAGCCAACCTTTTTGGCAAGTGTCTTGTCTCCTCCCCCAATGCCTCTGATTCCCTAACCTTGCCCGATCATTGCTCTGCTCTCTCCTTCTTGCCTTATCTGCTGCTATTCCCCCTGCTCTCTGCCAAGTCTTGTGCGTGCCACACAAAAGTGGCTACACATGCCACTCCGGGCAGGGAGGCATACAGCAACTTTCAACTAGTTCCAAACAGGACTCAAAGATTTGTTGGAGTTCCTGAAGCTCTCATTTACATACATTTCAGGTTTAAGATAATCAAGAATAAATTTGAACGAGAGTATTAAAAAGAAAACTAGAGGATCTGGATCAGATGTACATTTTTTTTTTGTTTTTTTGTTTTTTTTTAAAAAGGCAGCCCAATTATATTTCATCATGCAAAGACAATCTATGATCTTTCCAGTTCAAGGCACAAGCTTTCTGCAGTTGTTGTTACATTATGCATACACCAGCTTTTTACAGAAAACTTAATGTGAATTGAAGCTGCCTCACATACTTAGGGGGTAGGATAAGTTAGTTAGAAGCAGACAATTTTTATGAAAAGTAAACTTTAATTTTAAAAATGACAAGGCAACTCTACTGCTGGTGCTCCCTACTCAAGAGCACGGAGGCAGAAAGAGAACTTGGAGTCATTATTGACTCCAAGATGAACATGGGCCGATAATGCGAGGTCATGGTTGGCAGGGCTAACC